GATATCAGAAAAATAAACAAATTTTTTGACAATTTTCTGAAAATTCGATGAATGTTGTCATTTATAATTTCTCCCTTGGACTGCAAAGTCCTGCTGACCCACAAAATGAGCGTCATACAAATAACAGTACAGTTATTAATGTGGCCAACTGAGCGTGTTGCCGTGTCGCATTGCGGTTGTGTGGATATCCCACTTTTGTACGGATTACATTTTTTTCCCGGACTCCCAAATCGTTGTCCCGTGTTTAAGGCATTTTTTGCGGTTGACTGTACCTATTTCTGCTATTCGTTGTACCTAATTTTAAATGCAAATGATATTCTTATTTGAATTCACTATCTATAAAGAAATATATGTACCTATACAAATGCATTGTTTAAAACTGAATACAAAAAATCAAGTAGGTAATGTTTCCAGCTTCCTATAAATTGTTTTCAATATTTCACCGAATGAAAAATATTTTTATATCGTTCTCCGATGATACAAAAATATGTAACATTCATCGGACATTCGCCTCTAGTTCAAAAACAACAACCATCCACATAACCAATTAAAATAAATGGTCAATGCACAACTCTCAATACAAAGGCGAGAATTTTATCACGCAAATATAAATAAAGCGCTTCATCGCTAGATAAGAAGGGATGAACGTGGAACATCACAACCCCAAGGGGTGCAGAGGAAGGAATCAGCGGTAATAGTTGTATGCAAAGCAGCGCTGGAAACGCTGTTCGGTGACACGACACTCGTGAGACCAACAAGCGTTTTAAAGCGGTCTTTTTTTAAATTCGGAAGAGAAATTTTTAAATCGAAACGGTTACGTTCGATGGCCGTTGAATAATTTTTGAATTTGCGCGCTCTGAAGATCTCTTGGATAAGTGTTGGTTTTAGGGTACCGCAAAGAAAAGCAAATAAAAATGAAACGAAGGAAAACACTTGAAAAATTCTCCCAAAGAAAATTTTGGTCGCAAAGTTAAAGAAGAGAAAATAAATACATTTCAAGTGACTGTCAATAACGTTGACGAATGCTGAGAAATATTTTTAGGGAATCTATCTATCTGTTAGATTTTTAGCACTCAAGTTTTTGCTATAGGAAATTCCACACAGAAATTTTTCGCACACACAAT